TCCCGGGAGGGTGTTAACCCGACTCAGCAACCGGGGATTCCGATTAGACTGCTGTCGATATGGTGGATCCGAGCCCTTCAGCTTGCTCATCGGATACTTTATGCGCTGCGGCGGTGGCGGCTCCTCCGAGGCCTTTATCGGCTATCGATAGTCGTCCCCTCCGCTTCACCGATGTGAGACGAGACATAGCACAAATCGCCATTTCTTTTTTTTGTAATCAAATGCATCCTTATCGAAATTAAGCCTCAAGCATCAGGACTTTGACGATAAATGCCTCCACATCGTTTTGGTGGCTTCCTCTCAAATTTCTCGCACCACACACTCTCAAACAGCATTAAAGACACAAGCTACAACGCTACTTGATTAGACTGGCCAGTAAAGGTCACCCATGCATCCTAGTTTACAAGCTATTTAGAGTGAAAAAAAGTTGTTAATTTCTGATTTGCTATAGTGCGCTCAAATGTTTGCATGGATCTTTTTAAATCTGCAACCTCTCAGTCACAATCTTAATATCTTAATCCAACGTGCTTCTTGCAGAAGTGATCAGCTCTATTTTTATACATACAGTATATTGTGTATCATCTGCTATGCAAGGCGGGTTTCTCTCTCATTACAGGAAATAGACAGATACGCAACCTGGGACTGAAGACGGAGCCCCGATGCGCTCACATGTATACTGTCAATTTTGAAATTCCCTTTCAGTTGTTTTTTTAATAATTATTATTATTATTATCCTGGAAATATCATTCCTAGAGGTTTGTGAAAAAAGACACAACTGGACACTTCAGATTTCTTCCCGCGTGAAATACTTTTGCAATCGTGTCTAGTTTTAATAGCTCTGGGTATTATTATCTGGTAAGACTTCACTTTATGCACAATGTTTATTGATCTGTAAGTTAAAATATGAAGAGGCCATGTCGGAAGACCGGCCCGCCACTGTGGCGTTATTTGAAGTGTCGGCGTAGTTAAATAGCGTCCGATGGCAGTTTTATGGACGGATCATAAACAACACATTGGCTTTACAACGTTGTGTGTGCGAGCATTTGTGTGTGTGTGTGTGTGTGTGTGTGTGTGTGTGTGTGTGTGTGTGTGTGTGTGTGTGTGTGTGTAAGTGTTGCATACCACAAAGGCTGCTTGTGCACCACCGTTGTAAAAAAAAAAGACATAAATATAGTTTACGCACACTTGCGCGGATATTTCCTCCAGTTTAGTCAATATTATTTTCATTTGTAGTTTACATGCAGACACCAACGGGTCTCAAATCAGCCTCTCTTTTTCTTTGCAAAGTCTTAAACACAGAAGTATCAAATCCTCTATTTATGAGTAAAAATGTTTACATGGTTTGCGCATGCTTCGAGGCATTGGGAGACGTTGTATCGTCGTCTCTTTATGTGTTTAATCTGTCGGAGGGGAATGCTTGCTGGGAAAATTAAAACACGACTAAATAAGACGTTTCTTGATAGGACATATTTCTAATTTATTGTACATAAAGTGAGTAACCTCGTCTTTCTTATTGGAATGAGTTAAATATGCTGAATATTATTGTTTTGTCTTATGGGACTTGGCATCTTACTGTAATATAGATGATTTCTCTCTCGTGTTCTTTACTTTCTGTTCTCCATGTCGTTGTGCCGACTGTCTGAGTTATCAGTCCGATGAGCTTTGTGTGTGTACTGTTTGTTTTATGGCAGTGTTTGGGGCAGAGAGGAAGAAAAAGGTTTTATAGAACAAAGCAAAGCATTTTTTTAAATTATACTTTTTTATTATTTCCTGTTATTTCCCGACCTGATTATGACTTTATCCTGGTGCCTGTCCCAATGTTCTCCTTACTGGAGGAACAAAGTTTCTGGAGTTTTGTTTTCTTTCTGCTGATACATGTGGACATACTTCACAAGTCATTTGACTTTTGTCCTTCCTTTTTTCTTCTTTTTAAATAAGTCAAATCAAAGCCACGTGGCCACACTACATACTTTATTAAAGAGCAGGACTAACTCCAGTCACTCTGATCCTCTCCTCCTTGTGAAATGTTCCAGTTCCCTCGTGTATGTTTTCCTCTCTTTTCTCTGTGTTGTTGTCTCATTTTTCTCTCCGTGTCTGTGCTGATGGCACTGTTGATGCTGGATTCCTTATTAAAGAAGATACTTTACAGTACGACCATGCGTCTCTACTTCTAATTAAATAGGTGTGTGTGTGTGTGTGTGTGCGGGGGGGGGGGGGGGGCAGCATGTGTTTAGAATATGTCTCCTCAGTTGCACACTGCAGTTTAAAGGAGAGGGGCGTCTGTTTGGCTGCAACACCAAAAGACTGTCATAAACCCATTAACCCCCCCCCCCCCCCCTCCTCACCCCTCACCCACACAAAAACACACACAGATGATGAGTGCATTCATTAGGAGCGTCGTCATCCGTCCATTAGGAGCTCGTGAAGCCGCTGCGGTTCCTGTATTTGTCTCTGCGCCCAAATGACTGACCCAGACACGGAGTCTATAGAGGAGAGCGGCGGGGATCTCTGTTTCCCCTCGTGCCTCTCACGTGATCGAGAAACAGTTGTAACGAGGCCCGCATTTTGAAGTAGTGCAAGTAGTAATCATGTGTTGCAGTTCAAGAAAAGCATGAGATCGAGCAACGGTAAGGGTAACAGAAGCAGAGGGACCTGCAGCCAGCCTTTAGACAGTGTTATTGTTGGCACTTTCACTAAACACTGATTGTACATATGCTGACAATTACACAGAGTATGGTAGTTGTATTAATACTACTGCAGGTCATCATGGGTCCAAATCCCCACAAGTGCAAGTCCCCATAGCAACCAAAAAAGTCAACCAATCTCAGATTATCATGGCCTGTTTTAACTGTCGAAATATATTTTCTACAAGCTCTATTACTAACAATAATACAATAGTAATACATTTTATTTATAGAGCACGTTTCAAGATACTCAAAGACACTTTACAAACATTAAAATCATCATAAAAAGCTAAACACTAAAAACATAGAACACACAACATTCGTCACACATTAAGGCAGTTCTGAAAAGGTGGGTTTTGATTTGTGATTTGAACATGGAAAGATCGGTGTAGTCTCGGATGTGTTTGGGGAGAGAGTTCCAGAGGGAGGGGGCAGCTATGGAGAAGGCTCTGTCGCCCCATGTCCAGTGCTTGGTCCTGAGTGGAAGGGACAAGAGGTTGGCATCAGAGGAGCGGAGCCGACGCATGGAGTGTGGTGGTGGAGCAGGTCGGTGAGGTAGGAGGGGGCCTGATTATCACTATTTGACTTAATAAAAAGTGTTCCCCCTAAAACACACTTAGATTTTTTCAGCTATGGAGTTTAGAAATGATCCCAATCACCCTGCAGCACTGCCAAATGTCGTTTCCAGAAACCCCACGGAGGACATGAACCCAGTATCCTCAGCTCCAGCCCTGTGGTTGCAAGAGGGGTAGTAATAACACTGAGAGTGTTAGCTGTCATGCACATAGGACTAAAGTCTCTATTTCTAAAATGAATGTAGGGATGCAGCTGTTAAAATTGAGCTAGCCATATTAGACGCAGAAGTATTAGTAGTTGTAACACTGGCATTGGCAGCAGGAGTATTAGTAGTTGTAACACTGGCATTGGCAGCAGGAGTATTAGTATCGTAACATTGGTATAGGCAGCAGGAGTATTAGTAGTCATAACACTGGCATTGGCAACAGGAGTATTAGTAGTCGTAACACTGGCATTGGTAGAACGAGTATTAGTAGTCATAACACTGGCATTGGCAGCAGGAGTATTAGTAGTCATAACACTGGCATTGGCAGCAAGAGTATTAGTAGTCGTAACATTGGCATTGCCAGCAAGAGTATTCGTAGTCGTAACATTGGCATTGCCAGCAAGAGTATTAGTAGTGGTAACATTGGCATTGGCAGCAGGAGTATTAGTAGTCGTAACATTGGCATTGGCAGCAAGAGTATTAGTAGTGGTAACATTGGCATTGGCAGCAGGAGTATTAGTAGTCGTAACATTGGCATTGGCA